GTCATATCAAACCTCAGTCAAGGGAAGGTATCTCATCTAGAAGGCTAAGGACAAAATATGATGTTAAGCGAAGGCAAGTTCCAGGTCCTACATAATGGAAAGATGAAGAAATTATAACAGGAACCATATACAAATTAATTCAACGTTCACTATAGAGTGAAAGGTTAACAATAGTGACCTGGGAGTTACATTGTCAAAAGGCCTTACAATTAAACATACTTTTAGAAAACATGTAATACTTGCTGGAGTGAAAAATTGTACATTAACTCCTCCATTTAAGACTGGAGAAGTTTAAACTCCCTCAAATTGTGATCTTTGGCATGCAGGCGACAAAGATACGTGATAATCTATACCTTAAAGTAAGCAATTATTATAGGAAAGCTCCAAGCCAGAAAGACTATGACGCACTAACCCATGAAATTATTAATATATTATAAGGGCTGGTTCCAATTCTACCAAATATATATATTCTCGCAGCGCTAGAAGGTATGATATAATGAGCGATATTGTTCAGATGAAAAATAGTGGCAAAATGAACACAAAATGATCCATTTCTGGACTCGTGAATAACCAGGATATTCCAACCCTCCCTCTTAATGAAAGCCTAATGACAAAGGTCCTTGTGTTCAAGGGGGAATGTAATAGTCACCACCAAAGTGAAAATGATTATCTAAGCTCTTGTGGTCAGGTGTGAGACTGCGAGCTGTGTTACCAGAGCCAGGAATCATCAATCACTTACGAAACCTGTACATCCTTCCTTAACCATGGAGATTTTCTTTACATTTAGTAAATAGTTTACGAGCTTCGAAACTTCACAACCTAAGGTTATTATTTATATCAACAACCTCGAAGGATTTGGAGTTCAATAACCGTTTCATACATGTAAACAAAGCCACCATGATTGTTGAGAGATTAACAGTGTTGGTGAGTGGAGGCGTGAATGTTTGGTGAGGCGTGGCCCAAGAGTCTGGCCGGTCAGACCATCAACCAGGATGCCAGATATGTGCCAGTGCCACTGAGGCACTGATTCCCCAAAAAATTACTAGGTAGGTAGTCTTACGTAGTTACTAATAACACAGCTTAGCTAGTTTAAAAAACAAAATACCTACCAGGGTAATTACTAGAAACATAATATAGTTCGGGTAATTACTGACTAAATAAGATAAGCAAGGAAATGACTGGAAATATAAGCATGAATAATTTCTTATATAATATATAGAGAAGGTAATAACTGCGGAGCATATATAAAGAAGCGCTTCTTAATTATGCGTCAGATGTGTCTCCTATATCACTTTCAGCAAGTGACGGTGAAGCTGTCAACGATATTGTGTAGTGGGATGTGTGGTGGTGTTGTGGTGAGTGGTAGTGTAGTGATGTGAGGTGGTGTAGTGGTGTGTGGTGGTGTTGTGGTGTGTGGCAGTGTAGGGGTGTAGTGGTGTGAGGTGGTGTGTGGTAGTGTAGTGGTGTAGTGGTGTGAGGTGGTGTTGTGGTGTGTGGTAGTGTAGGGGTGTGGTAGTGTAGGGGTGTAGTGGTGTGAGGTGGTGGTGTGGTGAGTGGTAGTGTAGTGGTGTGAGGTGGTGTAGTGGTGTGTGGTGGTGTTGTGGCAGTGTAGGGGTGTAGTGGTGTGTGGTGGTGTTGTGGTGTGTGGTAGTGTAGGGGGTGTGGTAGTGTAGGGGTGTAGTGGTGTGAGGTGGTGTTGTGGTGTGTGGTAGTGTAGTGGTGTGAGGTGGTGTTGTGGTGTGTGTGTGTGGTAATGTTGGGGTGTATGGTAGTGTTGTGGTAGTAGTGTTGCGTGTATGTACTCGCCTAATTGTGGTAGAATCGTAGTGTGTGTGTGGTAGTGTCGTCATATTACTCTCTGGAGATTTTGCCCAGTTTTGACAAAAAAATATTTCCTTTCATTACAGTAATATTCCATTAGCATGCCTGGGGCCCCAGAGTAATCAATAGAGTGCAGACCACAGCTTCCTGCAGGAAAATGCAGGAGACAGGCCCATAAAAGATACCAGCATAAAGCCCTAGGGAGAATATAACCCCATTGAGGAGAGTGCAGGAGACTCACACAGGAGAGTGCAGCAGATAGACTCACACAGGAGAGTGCAGCAGACAGACCCACACAGGAGAGTGCAGCAGACAGACCCACACAGGAGAGTGCAGCAGACAGACCCACACACAGCAGAGTTTATAGAGCACATTATCAATTAATTTTGTATTTCTTCTTTCCTATTTCCTGTGCATTTTGGAGTACATTTATGTTGAAGGCTGAGGTAAGCTGGTTCTTATGATAAGAGTAGTAATTGTCACGGTGATTGTTGGTGCCGTGTCTCATGGTGTAACTGTGTCTGTCATACAGTGTGGTGGTGATTGTGAGGGTCATGACTCCGTTATGGTGATTGTGTGGATCATGACTCCGTTATGGTGATTGTGAGGGTCATGACTCCGTTATGGTGATTGTGAGGGTCATGACTCCGTTATGGTGATTGTGTGGATCATGACTCGTTATGGTGATTGTGTCAAATCTCCTGGTGGTGATTGTAGCTGCCATGTCTCGTGGGTAGTGATTGTGTCGTATGTCTTGGAGATGATTGTGGGTTATGTCTCGTGATGGGCAGCAGGCCTGCAGAATTTAGATTTAATCTTTGAGTAGAGTACAAACTGATGTTAGAATTACCAAACAAACATCAACATGGTTCTGTCTCATTGTGAATATTTTAAATTTTTTATTGAAATTTTTGCGTATTTACTAAGAAAAATTATTGGGATAATATTTGTTTTGAATAACATGGCACTATTCACCTTGTACGGAAACGAATACGAAACAGCAAGCTACATTTGATCATATTTTTGTACTGGGTATTAAAGCAATTGCATACATTTACTTGCAACATTAATTAATTTAGCAAATGACATTTTACGTGTTAAATAGCAACCCAGTGGTCCTAGATTGTAAATGTATCAAGATTTTATTAACTCACAGAAGCAGTGGACGTGTCTTTGAAGACAGCAAAACAGCATTAAACAAAATACTGCAAGTGATATAATATCTTCACACATTAAACAACAAAAGGTCGACCAAGACTATCGTCCCGTGACAGCTGGCGTCCAGTGGGACAGCTGCCAGGATATGACAAGTGTTGTCCCGTCTCTGTGTCAAGAGGAAGACACCTGTCAGGATATGACAAGTGTAGTCCCCTCTCTGTGTCACGAGGAAGTTCTGAATATCTAGGACCCTTCTCTGGATAGGTCTTTTGAAGCAGAGTGGATCGAAGACCAGCTATTCCAGATTACTTGATTGCATCAGGTAATCGTAGGATTGATGGGTAGAAAGTGGGGAGTGATGAATACGGCGGTGAATGAATAAGGTAAGGGGAAGAGACAGAGATGAGCAGTTAGAGTGGAGGGAGAGGGTGGACACTGGTAGAGGGAGAAGGGGAGTTAGTGGGGGATGAGGATAGAATAAGGTGAGGAGGCATGGGCAGCTGGATTGGCAGGGGAGGAGGATGGGGGATTGGCAGTGAGGGGGAGGAGAGAAGGATGGGGATGGGCAGGTGGGGAGGAGAAGAGGAATAGGAGACTCAAAATAAATAAAGCAGGAAGAAATGGTTGTAGGCAATTCGTGTTGTTATTTGTTATATATGTCATTACCTGCCATTCTTTTATCTCCTTTCATGTTCCTTGTTTATGTTGTGTTCTTGTGTCTGTGTTTATGTTGTGTTCTTTTGTCTGTGTTTATGTTGTGTTCTTGTGTCTGTGTTTATGTTGTGTTCTTTTGCCTGTGTTTATGTTGTGTTCTTTTGTCTGTGTTTATGTTGTGTTCTTTTGCCTGTGTTTATGTTGTGTTCTTTTGTCTGTGTTTATGTTGTGTTCTTTTGCCTGTGTTTATGTTGTGTTCTTTTGTCTGTGTTTATGTTGTGTTCTTTTGTCTGTGTTTATGTTGTGTTCTTTTGTCTGTGTTTATGTTGTGTTCTTTTGCCTGTGTTTATGTTGTGTTCTTTTGTCTGTGTTTATGTTGTGTTCTTTTGTCTGTGTTTATGTTGTGTTCTTTTGCCTGTGTTTATGTTGTGTTCTTGTGTCTGTGTTTATGTTGTGTTCTTGTGTCTGTGTTTATGTTGTGTTCTTGTGTCTGTGTTTATGTTGTGTTCTTGTGTCTGTGTTTATGTTGTGTTCTTGTGTCTGTGTTTATGTTGTGTTCTTTTGTCTGTGTTTATGTTGTGTTCTTTTGTCTGTGTTTATGTTGTGTTCTTATGTCTGTGTTTATGTTGTGTTCTTTTGTCTGTGTTTATGTTGTGTTCTTATGTCTGTGTTTATGTTGTGTTCTTGTGTCTGTGTTTATGTTGTGTTCTTGTGTCTGTGTTTATGTTGTGTTCTTGTGTCTGTGTTTATGTTGTGTTCTTTTGTCTGTGTTTATGTTGTGTTCTTATGTCTGTGTTTATGTTGTGTTCTTTTGTCTGTGTTTATGTTGTGTTCTTTTGTCTGTTTATGTCGTTTTCTTTTGTCTGTTTATGTCGTTCTCTTTTGTCTGTTTATGTCGTTCTCTTTTGTCTGTTTATGTCGTTCTCTTTTGTCTGTTTATGTTGTGTTCTTGCGTCTGTGTTTATGGTGTGTTCTTTTGTCTCTCCTCTCGTAGCCTTTCCTCGCAGCTTAGGTGTTTCTAAGTCAGTGTTTGCAGCCTGTGGTCTTGTGTCTCCGTGTCGAGCCAGTGTTGTTGTGCCAGGTGTGTGTGTGCAGAAGTGGCGAGGGAGCAGCGTACTGAGAGGACACTGGAGCAGGGAAGCTGAGAGGGCAATCTCCGGCCGCCCAGGACGCTGAGTCTGCACTATATTACGACACACAGGTTTCACAGGAGCTTTATTACTGCTGACTCGGGCAAGAGCCGCTTGCAGCTGCTGCAAGAGATTCGTCAACTTACGCACGTCTACACCAATGACAAATATTAAACTGTTTTTTTATTTTTTCTTGGTCAATAAAGCCTTAATATGTGTTATTTTCTTGTTGATCAGACGTGCTGTTGGTGGAGAGTAAGCTGAGGACGAACCCAACTGGCAACAACCAGGTGGAGGCCCAGGCTGTAGGAATGGCGGACTGGGCAGCCTTTTCCACCCCCAAAGGCCCACACTTCGCCCCTGACACCCCCACCTGCGTCACGGCTGCTGTAGGAGCCCCGGCTCACGTTCCCTGCAAGGCCAGGAACCTGGGCTCCAAGTCGGTGAGTTATGAACTACACACATGCCAGCCTGTTCTCTTGGTCTGACACTCTGTAAAAAAATCCAACCTCCTAACGTAACCAGAAACGTTTGAATCCAAGAGAGAGAGAGAGAGAGAGAGAGAGAGAGAGAGAGAGAGAGAGAGAGAGAGAGAGAGAGAGAGAGAGAGAGAGAGAGAGAGAGAGAGAGAGAGAGAGAGAGAGAGAGAGAGAGAGAGAGAGAGAGAGAGAGAGAGAGAGAGAGAGAGAGAGAGAGAAAGAGAGAGAGAGTCTTCCCTGTTGAAGTTCTCGGTAAGGCTGAGAGCTTCATTGGCTGTCTTAAGATCCATAATAAAACTTTGTTTCGTAGTTGAGATCTTAACTGAAACTTATCCTTTAGTCTTTTCGATATTTACTAAAACTATAGATTCTGTTGTCGAGATTTTTGTCATGATTTGGTAAAACTTAACTTTGATATTGTTGTGAACTTACATTCAGAGCACCAGGATTCTATAACGAGAAGTCATAGAATTAACTGATGAAAATAAATGGTTGCATATTAGGGACGAACAACGGAGCCAGTGTATCATCCCAGTCTTGCAGTCGACGATGGAGAGAGATATACATAAATTATGGCACAAAGGTGGCAAGTCGTGGATACATTATCTCTCACACAAAAATTAAATATGGAAGAAACCAATAGAGCGACTGGAAATGAAAGGTTTTGGATGGATGCAGGAAGCGCCCGGGGTCCTGCTAAGTGTGGATAGAGTCAAAAGATGGCTTAGTAGGGACATGAGAAGCGTGGATAAGGGTAAGAAGTGGATCGATGAGAGGTCATGACACGCGATGGATTCAACAAATGTGCGCGTGTAATTACACGAGAAAATTGATTTCATTATATGTTTGATAATGAAAATTCGAGGTATTTCTGAAACAATAAACCAAAAAACCATCTTGAATTAACGCTGTCTGACGTGACACAACCCTAAATTAAACCGCAAATACATAGCAATCACAGCTTATATTTGCATCACGACTGTAATCAAGCAATCTGGCTCTCACTAGGAGTCGAACCCACGGATCAGATTACTACCAATCTGATAATTTTATCGCCAGGCAGCTACTAACATAACTAAAGGAAGGGCAGGAATTGTCATATCAAATTCTGAAGGTACATTATTAAAATTTGAATAAATCCTATATTAAATATATTTTGAATCTAATAATTTGAAAGAACAAATCCAATTATGCTGCAACGTCAGGTATTGAAGTTGGTTAGGAAAAAAAACTTGAAGACAAGGACGCCTTGGGTTGTTCAGCTTCAAGTTAGAGTGACAACTTAAGCCTGCTCAGGCTTCGGCTTCCTATTCAAAAAATGAGCAACATTTGCAAATTCTGATTCAGAGTTGGAAATTAACAACTAAAGCGAAGTGAAAATAAATTCAGTAAATATTGTTTTGCAGTATTATATATATATATATATATATATATATATATATATATATATATATATATATATATATATATATATATATATATATATATATATATTATGTGTGTGTATGTGTGTGTGTAGAAAATATGGGAGTACCACCTCTGGCTGGAAGAAAGGGACTCATAGCCTCGGAGGAAACCACACATAACGCATTAGAGGGAATGTTTAGGTCCCCTCCAATACAGTTTCTATGTGCTTATATATATATATATATTAAACCATTAAAATCGCACGGGGAAGTGCAGGTTTATAGACTATATTTCTTAAAGCATTAAGCTTAGGCCTTAATTAGCTTAGGCCCCAAACCCATTCTCCACACCACTCCCCTCTCGAAAATTTTGGTGAGTAGGGTACAACAAGCAGGTTCGAATCCAACTTGCAGACACAACCTGAAGTGACAAGAGTTCTCACTCGATTTACTCCACTCGAAAGAGAAGTGACCGTCGCTAAAGCTTACTTCCTTTAATGGTAATTGTGTTCCCAAGTTGATATACACTATGATGAGAGGGAAAAATTATATTCTAATGAGCTTAATTGCTTAATCCGGTTGCTTTTGTTCTCTCTAGCGTCCTTCCTCACACAAATAAAAGCTGCAATAGCTTTTTAGAGTTATAATATCAGTGGGCATTCATGCTCCAGTCCCCGTAAATCCTCACGAAAGACTGGTAATTAGTGTCTTACATGTAGTCAAGCATTTGTGGGCTTCTTGTGGTGAATATCACTTGCCAGGGAGCGTCTCCCTTCCTCTTCAGCACCCTGGCAGGGTGATCGTTAGATACACTCTCACCTCCCTTATCTTACACCCTCCCTTCCTTCGTTCTACACACCTCCCTCATCCTACACCCTTTCCTGCCTCACCTTCCTCCCTTGGCATCACCTATTCGTAGTCAATGGACAGGAGCAAATTATTCATTTGATATCTTCAACTGGAAGTTGGTATTTTTTCAAATTCGTGAATCAAGTGAAGTTCTGTATTTCTTATTGTCACACGACTGGCCTACCAGACACTGGACATTGTCACCCCACACACTGGCCTGCCTCACGTGTCACAAGACTATAGCAGATATCATGATATCAGCGATTTCATGACTATATAGTCTACCTTAAACTGTCTTAATTATTTAAATTATATTTTAAATTTATGTAAGACGAATTATTTTTGGCCATACAATCTGCTAAACCACGACAAAGAAAGGCGAAATAAACGCTACAGAACCTCTCCATAGGGAGGAAAGTCGAATTCACAACAGCTCTCCTGCTACTTTATTCTTCATCAATAAAGTTCCCGTCTCGTTTCCCATGTTATATTATGCCATAATAATTTTTCCGCCTTTGCTGCGAGTTGGCAATTTCCCTTTTCATTATATTTAGTATTATATAATATATATATATATATATATATATATATATATATATATATATATATATATATATATATATATATATATATATATATATATATATATATATATATATATATATATAATTTTCCTCGTCCTCTAGGTACAGTTTCTAGTTCGTGTCTTGTTCCCTCTCTGTGTTACAATGTTCTTCTTCCTCTGGATATAATTCAATTGTGTCCATCTTGTGGTGTTCTCAGGTAAAGCCAGGTGAAGCATTGCTGGCATTTGTGGGATTTCAGGAACTCTGACAAGCTCCAAGGAATTCTGGCGTGCTCTGAGGGACTCTGGTGTGCTCTGAGGGACTCTGGTGTGCTCTGAGGGACTCTGGTGTGCTCTGGGGGACTCTGGTGTGCTCTGGGGGACTCTGGTGTGCTCTGGGGGATTCTGGTGTGCTCTGGGGGACTCTGGTGTGCTCTGGTGTGGTCTGGGGGACTCTGGTGTGCTCTGAGGGACTCTGGTGTGCTCTGGGGGACTCTGATGTGCTCTGGTGTGGTCTGGGGGACTCTGGTGTGCTCTGGGGGACTCTGGGGGTCTGGGGGACTCTGGTGTGCTCTGAGGGACTCTGGGGGTCTGGGGGACTCTGGTGTGCTCTGGGGGACTCTGGTGTGCTCTGAGGGACTCTGGCGTGTTCTCGGGGACTCTGGCGTGTTCTGGGGGGACTCTGGCGTGCTCTGGGGGACTCTGGTGTGCTCTGGGGGACTCTGGCGTGCTCTGGGGGACTCTGGCGTGCTCTGAGGGACTCTGGCGTGCTCTGGGGGACTCTGGCGTGCTCTGCGGGACTCTGGTGTGCTCTGGGGGACTCTGGTGTGCTCTGGGGGACTCTGGCGTGCTCTGGGGAACTCTGGCGTGCTCTGGGGGACTCTGGTGTGCTCTGGGGGACTCTGGCGGGCTCTAAAAACCTGTTGTGGGCTCACAATGCTCAACCTGTCCTCCTGAATAACTCATCGCTGATTGGCGACAAAATCCCCCACGGATGAAATACGACGTACTATAACTCATATCGGCTCACAAGCATTCACGTTTTCTGCGCTTAGATTCAACGGTTAGGTTGCGATCCAGTGCTTTAGTACACCGTTTTCTGACCGTTGTGGCAACTCTAGAGAATGCACTGTGCTTTGAGCGTGCGACTTCTGTTGCAAAGTGTTGCGAAATTAACATTTTATTCATATTAAAACAAAACAAAAATTATGGTAACATTGTTATTGCACATAATCCATAGACTTTTGTGGAATTTAGCGCGACGTTTCCGCGTAATTTAAATAATTTAATTCCTAAAAAATATATTGTAATCTTTTTAAAACACGTGTTTAAGTTTAACCTTCGGAGCGTATTATTGCATGTTGTTGTTCTGGGAAAATTTGTTTAAAAAATGTATTATTATATTTTCCTGATTTTTCTCTGGCAAGGAAATTAAATACCTGAATCTCTCTGTTCTCTCTCGTTACCTTCGTGGTGGTCGAACTACAGAGAAATGATGGCTATGGCACACTTTTGGGAGACCCGGGCATCACCGGTGACTCTTGTTGATGAGTTCTTGTTGTTTGTCACACTCATCGACCCTATAACCAGTCCTGGACGACCCTATAACCCGTCCTGGACGACCCTATAACCAGTCCTGGACGACCCTATAACCAGTCCAGGACGACCCTATAACCAGTCCTGGACGACCCTATAACCAGTCCTGGACGACCCTATAACCAGTCCTGGACGACCCTATAACCAGTCCTGGACGACCCTATAACCAGTCCTGGACGACCCTATAACCAGTCCTGGACGACCCTATAACCAGTCCTGGACGACCCAATAACCAGTCCTGGACGACCCTATAACCCGTCCTGGACGACCCTATAACCAGTCCTGGACGACCCTATAACCCGTCCTGGACGACCCTATAACCAGTCCTGGACGACCCAATAACCAGTCCTGGACGACCCTATAACCAGTCCTGGACGACCCAACTAGTTCTGGACGACCCAACCAGTCCTGGACGACCCAACCAGTTCTGGACGACCCTATAACCCGTCCTGGACGACCCAACCAGTAATGGACGACCCTATAACCCATCCTGGACGACCCAACCAGTAATGGACGACCCTATAACCAGTCCTGGACGACCCAACCAG